TGTCAAGGGTACCCTCCTCTGGGTGGTCAGCAGGAGCTACGAGAACACAGAGTGACAGTCAGGGCATTGGTGGTGCTGAGGAATCTCACAAGGAGCTTTGGGGAATGTGGACGGGGGCTGGAGTGTGTGGAGCTGGGCGGTTGACAAGCACGGACTGAGATGCTGCTGGACCATTCTCCTTGGTGCTGAAGGAAGGCAAAGGAGAGGGGCAGAAAGTATTGAAAGAGCCTTGGCTTCCTAGCTAGGGCAACCTCATCAGTGTGAAATAGTCTAAGACCCGGTTAATACAGAAAGGCAGTGTATGGCTCAGTGAGACCCATCTCATCACACCTGCTGCTTATGTAAAGGCCCAGGCAAATCCCCACATTTTAGGAAAGGTTACAGGTTTATTTCACTTCTGTCGACCTACATATCCTGCTACTACATTTATCATCTAACCTGGTGTATTTATAAAATTGTAGCAAAGTATACATATTTATTATTTTAATTATTAAGTATGCACTTTAATGATATTATATTCAGTGAGTAACATTCATGATGATGTGTCAATAATCAGAAAAATCTAAATTCATAATCTAGCTTCCACCTGTGGCAATCAAAGAAAAACAGCAGTGTAATATCCAATAGAGGTAAAATAATCACTGCAGAAATTAATGGGATAAAAAACAGGAAATCATCAGAGAAAAGCAACAAAACAAAAAACCATTTCTTTTAAAAGATCAGTGACATTGATAAACCTCTATCTTGTCTAACCTCAAAGGAAAGAAGGAAGTTTCAATGTAGTAATAATATCAGTTCCAGAGGAATGAACTCAAAAAATAATAATAAAGGACATTTCTGAACCCATCTGTGCTCACACTTAGATACATTATACGAAGTGAGCTAATGTTTTGGATCTGTTTCAGAAGGTTAAAAGTCTTCTCAGGATAAATTAATCATCTGAATAGGCCTATATTTATTTTAGAAACTGAATCAATAATTAGCATCTTCTCAAAAGAACACAAACACTACCTTCAGATGATTTTACTGGTAAATTCTACCTAAATTTTTACAAAGAAACATGTAGTCTTACCATACAAGCAAGTAATCATAATTTTAGTATTGCCTTAGTTACATTTTAAAAATTATGTTTCCAAACAAGACACAAGAAGGTTTATAACTGCTGTATTCATTACTGCCCAAACTGAAAGCAAATGTCTAAACACTTGAGATGTCCTTTACTATCGAAAGGGAACCAAGCCTGGGCAACAGGGTGAAACCCCATCTCTACAAAAAGAATAAAATCTAAAAAAGAAAGCTTGGTATAAAGGCATGTGCATTACAGCCATCTGCTTGGGAGGCTGAGGTAGAAGGATCACCTGAACATGGGGAGGTCAAGATTGCAAGGAGCTGTGATTGCACCAATGCACTCCCAGGTGACAAAATGAGACCTTTTCACAAAAACAAACAAGCAAACAATGTAACTTTACTTGTGTGTAAAAAACTAAGTAACAAACTAAGTTGTCAATGTAACTTTCCTTGTGTAGTTGCATCACCCACCATTGATTTAATGCATTTAAATGGGCACAAATGAAATAAAGAACATGACATAGCATTTACTGAGTTTCTCTAATATGGGACACTGGATCAGTAAACCGGAATTATTCGCTTCAATAAGCTTAATGATATAATTTCTACCCTACCTTCACTTTCAACGGGGCAAATGTTCTTACGCTTCCATTTTTTTTTTTGCCCAGCTTTTGGCGCGGCCAGCCAAACCTGCAAGGTAGAAATGTATTATAATGTATTATAAGATGTCACGTGCTTGACATCTTGCTGGCAGAGGACCACAGAGAAATTAGTAAAAACTTATTCACAGTTTCAACTTTTGATCCTGGTTTTCACCAGCTGCTTTTCAACTCTACCTGAGTTAGATCTGGGTTCTAGGAAGATTTGTTTGTGCAGGCAGATACCTTTATTCAGGTGAGACAATACAGAAAAGCAGAAGATCCAAGTTACCAAGAACAGGCTGGATTCAAATCCTACTTAGAATCTGCACATACCTGGGAGAGGGATATGAACCCATCTGTGCCTCTCTTCCCTATTCTTAGATGTGGAAACGTTAGCAGATCTATGCTATAGACCTACTAAGGTCCATAGCTCCTAAAAGGATGAAATGCAGATAAAGACTTAAAAAGACTCATGATTTTGTAAATGCCCTAAAATGTTCAATGTCGGGAAGAATAACCCAGATACTTGGTAGAGGTTGAATACAGAGAGGGAGCTTGCATGTCTCCTGTGCAGGGTAGGATGTAAAGTGACTTCACAGTTTCCATGGCCAATGATTTTCAGCTCATGACAGAGATCTGTGAGTTCCCTGATCCCCACATCAGCCCCAAGGGACAGGCAGGGAAGGGCTACAACCCATATTTTCCAATTCAGTGAATTAAAACTCAGACATTTTGAGTGGCTTGCCCAGAGTCACCACAGTGAGGAGTGACAGATCTGAGGTAAGAATGTACTTGGTTCCCTGGGGATAGAGATCCTGGAACACCTGAGTCCTCTAGATCATGCCCCGGACCCTGGACCGAGAGCTCTTCTCACAAGCTTTGTCAAATCCTGCTGCCCCAATATATCTGTGGGGTGGTTGATGCTCTGGAGACGTGGCAGGTGGCTTACCGCATTGACTGACCTACTCTTTTATCCATATGTTGTCACTTTTACAGTTTTATGACCCATAAGGCAAACATTTTAAGTCTCTCAGTTACGGTACACAGTCTGAGATTTTACCTGAATCCACTCTTTCCACCCATCAGGTGATTCTCATCTGCTGGGCTGGGGCTGGTCTCCAGTAAAAGAGGACACATGGCATACACGGAGCTGCTGCGTGCCCCACTCCTGTGCACACAGCACACCACGGAGCTGCTGTGTGCCCCACTCCTGTGCACACTCTTGCCTTGCTTCTGCTTTCCCAGCTCTGACAATCATAATTCTGGCTTCCAAGCCAATCCTGTACGTCCCTCTCAGTTCTCAGACTTGCCTGAACTGTTGGATATTTTAATCACTGCTGTAGTGACCATGACTGAACTGTGAATTTCATTTACCATAGTATATGTTTATCTCTTTAAATATTTCTTAATAGCATTTAACTTATTTTTTCAGACTTTTAAGAACATTTCTGGGCTAGGAGTGCTGGCCCACAGCTGTAATCCTGACATTTTTGGAGGCTAAGGCAGGAGGATTGCTTGAGGTCAGAAGTTTGAGACCAACCTGGGCAACACAGTCAGACCTCGTCTCTACAAAAAATCTTCTAAACATAACCAGATGTGGTGGTGAGCCCTTGTATCCCTAGCTACATGGAAGACTGTTGCGGGAAGATCATTTGAGCCTAGGAGATTGAGGCTGCAGTGAGCTATGATCACGCCACTGCACTCCAGCCTGGGTGGCAAAGCAAGACCCTGTCTCTTCAAAATAAAAAGCATTATTGTGTTACAAGTATCCCCATTTTATTTCTAACTATCTAATATTGCTGTTTTTATCCTGAGGCTTAATTGCTTTAGTAAGCTAATAAAAAAAAAAAAAAAAGGTTTCTTTAGAAAAGGTAGTATTTGAAGCAGGCCATATACACACCTTTTTATAAATTCTAGTTTTATATGCCATATATTTAGAATTTACATTCTTGATGTACTCAGTCTTCTTCTTACAACCAGCCTCCTCATATGTAACACAAGCATAATTCCCATTTTACACCTAACTCAAAACATTGAGAGGATAAAATAAAATGAAAGAGCAGTCTGTGCACTACAATAAACTACAAAGCACAGCTTTCTCTAATTAACTCAAAGGCGAAAAGTGCAGAGTTAACATCCTTTGCAGAACCCATAGCAAAATAACATTTTGTGAAAATATGCACTTTGGCTACCCAGTGAAGTTAAGGAGAAAACTGTCACCGGTCATCATCAAGACTTCACCAACGTTGGCTTTTATTTTTAAATAATGAAATACACGTTATTTCCCCTGCTTTCTTTCATGTATATTACTGCATGTTCTTTTTGCTTTTCTGTGCTTTTCTTATCTTGGGAATCGCTCCATAGCAATGAGAAGACATCTTACTCTTTTTTACAGCTCCATACTTCTCCTTTATGTAGAAGTACCACCTTATTTTACCAGTCCTTTACTAGGCATGTCAGTTATTTCCAATATTTAACTATTGAAAATAATGCAACAAGAACTTTACGCATAGATTATTTTACATTTATGGAGTATACCTTCAGAATAAAATTCCTCAAAGTTGGATGTCTGGTTTAAATGCATTTGCAAGGTTGTGAGATTGTGCCAAATTCCCCTTCATGGAGTTGAGCCTTTTTGCATTTCCACCAGCAATATATGAACGCAACTTTCCTGACAGCCAAACCAAAGAACATTTTGCCATGTTTTTGGAATTTCCCTCAATAGGACAAACAGTAGAGCTGTTTGCCTTTCTCTTATGAGTGAAGATGTGTTTACAAATCAACTGCATTTCTTTTTCTGTGACTGGTCTATTTACCACTTTATCATCTACTTTGAGATTCACTTGATTTTCTCAAGTCAGCCTCTTTCAGGTCATTGTTACTCTTCTCTTCACTATTGGCTCTCACCTGAACTACTCCACCAGCCTCCGAGCTGCTCTTCCTGCTTCCACCCATGCCTGTATTACAGTATATTCGCACGGAGCCGCTGCTCAGTCTTTTTCTTGGAGAATTAACAGTAACCCCTGGGCTATAATCCTCCAGTGGTTTTCCATGTCAGCCAAAGTCCATCTTCTCTGTGAGCGCTCACTACGTGTACAAGGCCTTCACCCACCTTATTCATCCCAGCATCCTTTCGCTCTGCTGCAGCCACCCTTGTGTCTTTCTGTCCTTTGCCTAAAACAACTTTGTTTCTATTTCAGGAATTCCAAAGCAGATATCCCTCCTGGAAGCCCTCTCGCATCATCCTCACAAGGTTCCCTTCACTTTTTTATTTTTAAAAATTAATAAGATGGGGTGTCTCTGTGTTGGCCAGGCGGGTCTTAAACTTCCAGCCTCAAGGAATCCCCTCACCCTGGCTTTCCAAAGTGCTGGGATTAAAAATGGGAGCCCCTACACCCAGCCCATTTCACCTTAAAGACTGTTCACATGTCACTTAAAGAGAACATCCAGCTCTTACCCCCAGCTCTCCATAAAACTGCCCTCCTCTTTAATCCATCACCCTGTTTTACTTTCTTCCCAGCACGTCACCACCTGCCATTCTTGACTATTCATGTGCTATCTGCCCTTACCTCCCTATCGAATGTAAGGGTCAGACTTGGAATGGGGCTCTATGTTGTGTTCCACTGTTTGCCCCGCATCTGCAACACTGCCAGGCCATTTAAAAGTGCTCAAGAAATAGATTTCATCTTACCCCAAACTAGAATTCTCCCAGATCTGCTAAAGTTGTCTTTTGATTTATCACCTAAGACAGCATCAGATTTTTTAAACTGGTAGCTCTTTAGAATTAAAGATACAAGCTACCAAGATCCACAAAAACATAAATGAAGAATGTTAATGTCTACTTAAAAGTCAACGGTAACTGCGGTTTGACACGAGTATATTTAATACTAAAATACCTTAAATACAAAGTGACTCATTTCATCGGTTTAATTATGTCACTAGACAAAAAATATTATCTGAATTTTATAACGAGATATCACGCATCTGTCATCAACATGTGCTTTATGTGTGTTCTTAGAATCAAACATAAGAGGATTGTGTCTGACTTTACAAAAAAAGACGGCCAATTGCAAAGGGTAGGTAAATAAATAATGCTCTAAGCAGTCCGTAGTACACTAAGGAGTTATTCAAAGTCATCAGGTAGAGCAGGGTGCCCTGGCAGCCAAAGACATCCTGGAGTGCTCGCTAGGTGTCAAGTACTGTTTGAGAAACTTATGCCATTATTTCACTGTTTTAAGTAAAAGTTACAAGGCAGCACATATAAAATGATGAAAAAGTTTTATTTTACAAAAAAGTTTGTGGAATATTATATTCAAATGCATACCAAAAATTTCCAGAAGAACCAGTACTCAAATAGCAACACAAGGGAGCTCTGGGTATTGAGTATAATAAATAGTTTTTCTTTAGTCTCTACTACTTTTACATGAAACACACTGACAGTTATTTTAAAAGGAGGGTTGAAAATAGCTACTAGAAAGTGGAAAGACCTGCTGCTCAGATGCCTCTACATCGTATGCCCATTCTTTCCCTTCCCTGACCCCTCACTTCAGAGAGCCAGCAAATTAGCAGCGCTCCTACGGTAAGAACACAAAAGGCTGCATGGAAAGTTGATGGCTAGTGAGAAAATTGGATACGAGCTCTTACTATCTTAATCTGTGTTACTTATATTACCCCCAGTCATATTAGATACACTGCTAAATAAGGGCAAGATAAGAGAAAATATGCTTGAGTCTGAGATCTAAAGTGGGTTCTTAGAAGGTCTCTTTGAAACGGCTTCAAGACACAATGTTCTTTTGAAATATTTCAGAAGAGAACAACGAAGCAGAGCATCATTTATGGCATAAGTTCCTGAAACAGGACTTGCCACCTAGAGAGCACTCCAGGATGTCCTTCCACAGCAGTGTGCCCTGCTCTACCTGATGACTTTACACGACTATTTAGTGTGCCACAGAATGGTTGGAGCACTGGTTGCTGTGATATTTGTGTAAGTCACCAAAAGAATTCAATTCCTCATTATAGAAAGGCTAAAATGTTTCACATCTAAGTAGGAATTTATCGCTTTCCAAGAAAAGTGATACACAATTTTCCAAAATAAAGATATTAACAACAAACTTTGAATGTGTCTATACTTTATATTGAGTGTTCTCAACATGTTTCTTGTTTTATTTGCCCAGCCAGGCTGGAGTGTATTGGCACAATCTCGGCTCACTGCAACCTGCAACTCCTGGATTCAAGTGATTCTCCTGCCTCAGCCTCCCAGGTAGCTGGGATTACAGGTACGTGCCACCACGCCTGGCTAATTTTTTGTATATTTAGTAGAGATGGGGTTTCAACATGTTGGTCATGCTGGTCCCGAACTCCTGACCTCAGGTAATCCGCCCACATCGGCCTCCCAAAATGCTGGGATTACAGGCATAAGCCACCATGTCTGGCCAAAGAATAAACACTGAAATTGAGGTTTCTCTTATCCCTCTATTGAATAGCACAAAAATACATTTGAAGAGACATATAGAAACTCACTGTCATGCACATACACATAAAATGGTAAATTCTGTGCTCACAAACTATTTTTTCTTCAACTGCTGTGACCTAACACTTCTTACTTGTATCCTGTGCTGAATGCGTGCGGCCTTACCTGCCCTCTGGCCAGCTTCTCCTGACCAGGGCATTCCCAGCTTCAAATCAGTTAGCAGAAGAAACTCTTCAACATTTATTAAACTGTTGATTTGACTGGTAAATTTAGGCCATTTTGTTACCTCTATTTTTATCCTTATCCATTTCAATAAATGTACAGACAGAAGGTGGAGCCAGGAGAGACGGCACATGCCTGTACTGTCAGCTCTTCTGCAGGCTGAGGCAGCAGGAGTACTGAAGCCCAGGCCAGGAGTCAGAAGCCGGCCTATGCCACACAGTGAGGACCCACCTCTTTAGGATGAAAAATGGAGAGGTAAATGTTGCCTGTAAGTTGTGTAAAATAAAATGCAAAAGGACCTAATCAAGATGAAAGTAACTTCTAAGAGAGGTCTATGTTATGGGTAGACCTTAAAATATACGACGACATTCTGGAGTTTGTCAAGTTCTTTAAGAACTGAGTTTGGCATCACTATGACCTCCATGTCTACTCTGATGACTTAGAACCTCAGTTCTGTTCAGTAGCTGTCTCACACTGTCCCTTCAGATCTCTAAGCCTTCCTTTCTGCATCAGCAGCATAGGGAGAATATACTCAGGCCTTACTGTATTTGGAAGGTTCCGATAAGATGTACATGAAAACACGTTTTACATCCGAAAGAAGAACAAAAAGGCTCACTTTGTTCTCTCACTACCTCATCTGCCAAATCGTACAGAACATGACAGAGGCTTGCCGTACACACCAAGCAAGGAGTTTCCACAGCTACTTGCATGCTTGTGTATAAGGTGCAGCCTATTACGTCTCATCAATATTTGTTCATTCTTTCACAACTTTTCAATATTCTGAAAAGGGAGTACAGCACTTTCTTGTTACAAAGCCACACCCATTGTGAGGCTTAATTTTTCTGTGAAAGAAAGTAAGAGCCAAACTGAAGTTTACATACAAGAGCGGTAAGACATTTTCTCCATACTGATAAAATCTCTGCCATTAAAATGAAAGACATGAGCTGATCATATTTCTATGTCTTTATGATATAATGTTTTCTATTTCAGTGGACTTAGTTTTTGTTCAAGGAACTGGTTACCCAGAATTATCTGTAGCTAGATTCATCTATTTCTAAACTCCTAAAGGATTTTAGACTGAAGGCTGCTGGCCCTGGCTCATGCCTATCACCCAAAAAGCCTATGTCACCCGGTTACCAGGAAACAACCAAGTCAGGCTAGTGGCTCACAATGCCCCGCCCCACAGCCCCACCCAATGGCTCACAATGCCCATCCCTGCTGCTGCCCACCTTGTGGTCACCTGCCCCAATGTGTGACTGCATTATTCATCCTGGGCTGCCTGAGCTTTCCAGTCCTGAGAAAAGTGTGTGTGTAGAGGGGAGGGTGGTTGTTATTGGAAGTCACCCTGGGCACTGAACTCAGCAGAAAAACCTGGTTACTAATGTCAGTTCCATTAGCATCTCTGGTTTTCTGAGTCTGGTAGCTTTCATTTGCTCAACAGATGTAGTGATACACAATGTTTGACTGATTTTGTAAGTAAATGCTCCTCTCCTGTCTCACAAGTGTTAGTTTTTGTCTTCAATTTGACCATAGCAAAAAAATGGAATGTTTCCTCTCTCCTCCCCTTTCCCATTCTGTAGGAAGGGGAGCCATGAAAACAAACTCTCTCCACAGGCAGAGTCTGGCCTTCCAACTCTCAAGTCTTTACCTTACAAATTCAAGACTAAAGTCATTTCATCTCTTTTGGAACGTGTAACCATGAGCTAGCTCTACCTGTCTCAGGATAAGGAGGTGAACAAAGCCCGTGAAGCTACTGGAGTTGGGCTGAAGAGACATTCATGTCAAAGTGGGAATTTTAAAGTAATCAGAGCTCCATGGCTAAACTTTTGGGTAAAACCAAAACAAAAACAACTTTTTTTTACAGCTCTGGCAGCAACATTTCATACCTTTTGCAGTCATTTTAAGCATGTCCCTCAAGTTTTCCTTCAGTTTTCAAATTACAATTGGAAGAAATATAGCTGCTTCTGTCGAGGTGACTTACAACCATCTATTAAGAACAACATATAATCTCTTCCATGGCAAACTCTATTTGAAATTTAAGAATCTCCAAATATTTGAGTCTGAATTATCCCAATTATTAGCTTCCTTATCGAATAGGAGAAAAGAAACGATCGGGCCTTTAACCGGCTCCTTCAGTGAGGTACCATTCTAGTTGGATAGGTCAGGCTAGAGGATGGGATGGAGACTCCAAAGCTGGAGTATTTGAATTTTCATCGAGGAAAGGGAGAGACCAGACCAAAAAGGCCTCAAGCAAGAAGGCTCAACAACAAAGACAAGAGGCAGGACTAGCCTTTGTCCCCCATGCCCAGCCCTGGGAAAGCTGGCTACAGGCAGGAGGGAGCTGGAAGCTAGGATGTCTCTGAGGTGAGGGGATGGGAAGCAGGTGGGGGAGGTGGTGGCCAGAGATGTGCCAGAGAGCAAATGGCACCCGTGGCTTCTTTACCTTTGCGCCTCTTTGTGTTGGTGGCAGGCTCTGCAGTGGTGGATGCTGGTGCTGCAGCGGCCACAGACTCAGTCTCGGATTCACAGCAAGGTGCCACCTTCTGCCTGCAGCAGGCACAACAGAGGCCAGCCCTGGGGCCTAGGCAGCAACTGAGTATATTTCCCATGGGGGATCTAGAAGGGGACCTTCAAAACAAAGCAACACACAAAATCAAAAACAACAACAACAACAAAGAAAAAAACAAAACTAAGCAACACACAAAATTAAAAAAAAAAAGACCAACAAAAAAGAAAAAAACAAAGCAACAGAGCAAGCGCCAAGGGCACAAACACTTCCGCGAGAGTAGTTGGAGCTCCTCCTCTTCCCACTCCCAGCTTCCGACTGAAGGCTGCGGGCCCTGGCTGATGCCTGTCACCCACAAAGCCTCCTATGTCACCTCGTTACCAGGAAACAACAAAGTCAGGCCAGTGGCTCACAATGTCATGCCCCACAACCCCATCCAATGGCTCACAATGCCCATCTCTGCTGCTGGCCACCTGTGGCCACCCTGCCCCTCTTGGTGACTGCATTATTCATCCTGGGCTGCCTGAGATATTCCATTTTTCACTATATGCCTCAAAGGGCTCTAAAATAGCCCTTCATAGATTCTATATAGAGAGTGTGTCTCACCTGTGAATAAAAACTAAGGTTTCATTCTGCGTGATAAATCCACAAACAAAAAGCATTTTCTCAGATCCTTTGGGGCCCAACTCTCACCTTCAGCTTCCTGTTCCTGGTTATTTGGGCTTCTGTCTTGTGTGCTCTGTCAGGTTCTGGGCCTTGGAAGGGTGAGTTCCATTCCTCACTCATTTATACGTGCCCAGTAGGGCCGGCTCCTGGGAGGTTCTTCATGGTGACTGAGGCCATGGATCCTTCACACTGTTCCTTGAATCCACTTGACATGAAATACTCATCCTGAAACGATGCTTTGAAAGTGATCCTTCCAGCCAATTATGGGTCCACTGTATTATGGGTCCCTAGCACCCAATACATGGCATATAAGAAATGAATGAAAAATAGTGAGTGAATGAACAAGAGTGCCTACAAGGTCAGAGAAAAGTGGTCCTACTTACTAGGTATGCTACGAAGGCATGTGGGACTGTTGGATTTGCTATTTCATAGTAGGCCTGGGGCTTTGAAGGCTGGCATTTCCTCATTCTAAACCTCAAATTCCAATAAATTACCACCAAGTGGACAAAGATCCACGGGCCAGAGCTCTTGGTGTCAACAACATATCTTTTTTGGATGTGATTAATGGACAGGGACTATACAGAACTAAAAACAATGTTTGTGTGCTGACTACCTGCAAGCCGTGGTGATAAAGCACTCTGTATACATGATCTTATTCAATGCTTGTTACAAATCCACGAAGTGGATTTTTAGACAAACTTTCTATTCTAGAGTTTTCTGAACAAGAGGCTAGTGTCGTGAGCTTTCCCCTACTCAGCAGCAGATTCAGATATTTGTTATCTTGTGGCCAATCTCATTACATGTACACTCCTACACGCTTCTCCTCTTCCTCTCTTGATTTTATAGCAAATCCCATGCATCACATAATTTCCCCCTGACTGTCTTGGTATATGTCTGTAAAAGATACGATACTTGTTTGTTCTTTCAAGACAAAGTCTCTGTCACCCAGGCTGGAGTTCAGTGGCATGATCTTGGTTTGCTGTGGCCTCTCCTGCCTCAGCTTCCCGAGTAGCTGCAACTACAGACTCACACCACCATGCCCAGCTAATTTTTTTATTTGTATTTTAGTAAAGACAGGGTCTTGCTATGTTGCCCGGGCTGGTCTAGAATTCCTGGATTCAAAGGATCTTCCCGCCTTGACCTCCCACACTACTGAGATTATAGGTGTGAACAACTGTGCCCGGAGACAAGAACTCTTTAAAAAATGTAATCCCAATATCATCATCAACCAACCTTCTCACGCCACTGCTCTTTATCACTGTCAACTCTCCTGCTAGCTCCAGATTTCCAATCATTTCATGTATTTATGGTTTGAATCAGGATCCAAATAAAGTCTCTCTTTGGGATTGATTCACCTCTTAGGTTTTGTTTGATCCTGACAGCTTCCCACTTTGATCTCTGTGTTGTCCCTTGCAGTTCATTTATTGAATAAATCAGGCCGTTTCCCCATAGTTTGGATTATGCTAAGTGTATTCTCATTATGCTGTTTCCCATACTGTGAATTTTGCTAACTGTATCTTGTGATGTTGGTTAACTTGCTCTTCACTTTGTTCTAGTTTTTATAAATTAGTAGTTTGATCTCAAGACTTGGTCAGATTCAGGTTGGACTTGAGGGTCAGGACAAAAAGACTGTGCTAGTTTCTTCTGGGAGGAGGTGTGTACTCTCTGGACATCTTTTCTTTTTTCATTAGTGATGTTAATGGCCATTGATCAATTATGGATTGAACAACGAAGGTATTGTTGTACCACTCCTTCTTCATTTATGAGCTGTCATACTTCCAGAAAGAGATACCGCTACCCTAAGAAGGGCCATGCATGAAGAAAAAAAAATGTAAATATAAAAAAGAGATGCTGCTTCTTATAAACTGTGTTACTTTTACAATTTATATAGAAAACGCCAGTTTGTGGCTTGACTTCTTCTGTTTATCATTTTTCAAAATGATGGGCTGTTTCATTTATATCCTTCAATGGTGACCACTTCTATTAATTTATGTATGTAGACAGGGAGGGTCTAGCTCTGTTGCCCAGGCTCATATGCAGAGAAGCAGTCATGCCACTACAGCCTCAAACTTCTAGGCTCAGGTGACCCTCCCATCTCAGCTTCCTGAATAGCTGGGACCAAAGACATGGGCCCTCACACCTGAGTAATTTTAAAAATGTTTTGTGGAGACAAAGTACCCCTGTGTTGCACAGGCTGGTCTTGAACTCCGAATGAAGTGATCCTCCTAACCCACCCTCCCAGAGTGTTGAAATTACAGGCACGAGGAACTGTGCCAGCCCACTTTTATTTTTTCAAAAGGATCATTATGAATGCAGACATTCAAACATATCTGATATATCTCAATTCACTGCAACTATTATCCTTATTAATGCACAAAATGTCCTACGTTTGGTTAGAAGGAGTCCCTTCAGACATGTTGAAATCATCCTAATGATCTTTGATGGATTCTTTGCTATCCAGAATGACAATATGTTCCAGGTTCCTTACACATTTCTGGCCTAGACCTGGAATCAGCACTTTTTCCAGGAAGGCTTGTTTTCTTTCATTGGGCAATGGTATTTTGAGACTACAGTCTTGGTGCTAGGGGTAAACAGTATAATTTTAAAACTTAAAAAACTGCCTGGCTCATGCCTGTAATCCCAGCACTTTGGGAGGCCGAGACGGGTGGATCACCTGAGGTCACGACTTTCAGACCAGTCTGGACAACATGGTGAAACCCCATCTGTACTAAAAATACAAAAAATTAGCCAGGCATCATGGCGGGAGCTTGGGAGGCTGAGGCAGGAGAATTGCTTGCACCTGGGAGGTGGACGTTGTGGTGAACTGAGATTGCATCATTGCACTCCAGCCGGGGCAAAAACAGCAAAACTCTGTCTCAAAAAAAAAAAAAAAAAAACTAAAAAAAATTTAAAAATTAACAGCTTTATAGAGGTGTAATTTACATATTAAAATTTACCCATTTTAAGTGTACAATAATTGTGTGTGTGTGTGTGTGTGTGTGTGTGCGTGAGAGAGAGAGAGAGAGAGAGAGAGAGAGACAGGGTTATCACTCTGATACCAAGGCTGGAGTGCAGTGGTGCCATCATGGCTCATGGCAGCCTCAACCTCTCGGGATCAGGTGTTCCTCCTGCCTCAGCCTCCTGAGTACCTGAGACTACAGGCTTGTGCCACCACACCTGTTGTTTAAATTATTTGTAGAGATGGAGTCTTTATGTTTCCCAGGCTGTTCTTGAACTTCTGTGCTCAAGTGATCTTCTTGCCGTGGCCTCCCAAAGTGTTGGGATTACAGGTGTGAGCCACTGTGCTTGGTCCAATTCAATGATTTTTAGTATATTTAGTATATTTACAGGATTATGTAACAATCACCAAAATCTAGTTTAAGAGCATTTCATCATCCCAGAAAGAAACTTGTGCCCATCAGAGTCAATTTTCAGTCTCATTCCCAGTCCTAGTCAAACAGTAAGCTGCTTTCTATCTCTATATTAGGCTGTTCTCGACCTCTCATATAAACAAAATCATGCGATGTGTGTTCTTCTGCATCTGGCTTCTTTCATGAAGCATTGTGTTGTTAAGGTTGACCACTGTGGTAGCATGCCTCAGAACTCATTTTTGATTGCTGCATAGTATTCCTTTGTATTCCCCATGTTTGAATTCCTTTATCAGTTGATGGGCATTTGGCTTGTCTCCACTTTTTGGTTCTTGAGAGTGGTGTTGTTGTGGACATTCACCTACAAGTCTTTGTGTGAACAACATTTTCATTTTTCCTGGTTCGATACCTAGAAGTAAAGTTGCTGACTTTAAGGCAATTTGACTTTATTTCATTTTATTATGATTTTTGTCTTAAGCCCCTTGCAGTTCTGCTAGAGAAGGCAATTATATTTTTAACATTTTGAGAAACTGTCATACTATCTTCCAAAAAAGTGGCTGTACCATTTTACATTCCCACTGGCAGTGTATGAGGGTTCTGTCCTCCACATCCTCTCCAGCAATTGGTGTTATGCGTCTGCTTGGTTGTAGTTATTCTAGTGGGTGGAAAGAGACATCTCATTATGGATTAATTTGCATTTTCCTAGTGACTAACGATGTTGAATGCTTTTTAATGTGCTTATTGGACATTAAAATATTATCTTTGGAGAAATGTTTCTTCATGTTCTTTTCCCATTTTTAATTGGATTGTCTTTTAATATTGAGTTGTAAGACTTCTTCTGGATATCTCAGTTATTAGACACATGATTTATAAATATTTTCTCCCATTCTGCGGGCTGTCTTCCCCTGTCTTGATTGTATCTTTTGATGTGCCAAAGTTTTAAATTCAGCTGATGTTCAATTTTTTATTTTCTTGCTTTTTCCCTTTCCTTCTTTTCCAGGTCTCATTAGGCAGTCCTGACTGGTCTTCAACTGTGCTTTTGATGTTGTATCTAAGACATCAGTGCCTTACACAACATCACAAGAATTTACTCTTACGTTTTCTTCTAAGAGTTTGTTTTAGTTTTACATTTAGGTCTGTGATCTGTTTGCAGTTAATTTTTGTGTATGGTGTTAGGCAGGGACCCAAATTAATTTATTTGTACATGAATATCCAGTGCCTCAGCACCATTTGTTGAGAAGTCTATTCGTGGTTGGAAACAGTGGTTCATGGCTGTCATCCCAGCACTTTGGGAGGCCAAGGCCGGAGTAGTGCTTGAGTCCAGGAGTTTAAGGCTAACATCTGCCTAATTCTCCCCAGAATTTCTCCAACATCTGCCTAATTCTTCCCCTACACCCAGCCCTGGGTAACCACCATTCTACTCTCTGCTTCTATGAGTTCAGCATTTTTTCTTTTTTCCTTTTTCTTCCCTCCCTCCCTTTCTTAATCAGTTCCTAAGCCATTCTACTCTCTGCTTCTATGAGTTCAACATTTTTTCTTTTTTCCTTTTTCTCCTTCCCTCCCTCCCTCTTTTCTTTCTTCTTTCTTTCCTTTCTTTCTCTTTCTTTCTTTTTCCTTTCTTTCTTTCTTTCATTCACTAATCAGTTGCGCAGCAAATCCATACATGAATGACATGATGCAGTATTTGTCTTTCAGTGCTCTGCTTATTTCACTTAGCATAATGTCATCCAGTTTCATCCATGTCATCGCAAATACAACAATTTTTTTCTATTTTAAGGCTGAATAATATTCCATTGTGAATACAGAAACATATATTCCTACATTCCTCACAATTCTGTGTTAAGACTTAATAGTAAGCCATTGTGACTATAGAAATATATATTCCCATATTCCTTAAATTTTATTGTATGCAAGGATTGTCTTTTCTCCACATCATCACCAACACGTTATCCTAATCCCTGTCAAAACTCGTGATATTCCCCATAGAAATAGAAAAAACTGATTCTAAAACTTATATGGAAGCACGAAAAATCCTGAATAACCAAAGCGATTTTGACTGAACACAAGAACAAAGCTGGAGGAATCACACTACCTGATCTCAAAGTCTAAAGCCATAGTAGTGAAAAAAGCATGGTACTGCTACAAAGATAGACATGATCGACCACTGGAACAAAACAGGGAGCCCGGAAACAAGTCCACGTATTTACAATGAACGAATCTTCCACAAAAATGCCAAAAACATGCAGCCCAGAAAAGACATTCTGTTCACAAAATGCTGTTGGGAAAACCTAATATCCACAGGCAAAACGATGAAATTGAACCTCTCTTTAACCCCATATATAAAAATCAACTTAAAATGGGTTAAATGCTTAAATGTAAGATCTGAAAAACTTCTTGACATTGGCGTAGCAAAGATTTTATGGATATGACCCCAAAAGCTCATGGAACAGAAGCAAATATAGACAAATGGGCTTTCATCAAACTAAAACTTACACGGAGCACAGGAAACAATAGAATAAAGAAACAATCTACAGAATGGGAGGAAATATTTGGGGATCATACACCTGATAGGGAGTTAATGCCAAAATATTTAATGAACTCAAACAACTAGATAACAAGAACACAAGTAACCTAATTTTAAAAGGACTTGAGTTCTTGGTTAAA